ATAGCAAGGATGTGAAAAGGAAAAAGACTGTAAGAAAGAGGAGAAACATAGTTAGAGTGTCATGAAAGTCAAGGGACAGGTGTTCAAGAATGATGCTGGTAGTGTAAAAAGCTGCGGAACAGCAAAGGATGAGGATTTAGAAAAAGTCTTTGGATTTGGCATTTAAGAAATCAATGATTACCTCTCTGTTAAAGTAGTTCCAGCCAAGTGTTGAGCTTTGAAATCCAATTACAAAAAGTCCAGGCACCAAAGATTGGTAAGGAAAAAGAGAAACAATTGTAGATTTTCAAAGTGTGTGAAAGGTTGGTAACTGGTTCTGAAAAATTCACCCACATCAGAATCACCAGGGCTTGTTAAAATGCAGATTGCTGGGCCTCCGTCCTAGAATTTCCGGTTCAGTAATTCTTGGGCTAGGACCACACAATTTGTATTTCTATCACGTGCTCAGGTAATGGTGATGATACTGGTGGTTCATACTCTGAGAGCTACTGGTCAGGGTTGAAGAAAGTTTTTGTTTGTCTTAAGGATTCCTAGCCTTGAACATTTTCAATAATAAAAGAAGAAAGAACAAGTAGAGAGAGAGAGATTTGAGATGCCAAAGAGAGTGGTAGGAATTAAACTGCTAGATTACTTCCTTGGAGGTGAGGTCAAAAGTATCAATGAAGGGAAGTAGGAGAAGATGATAAAAGACATGGAAAAGGTTTTTTAGGAGGACAGAAGTGAAATTGAGGGAGCTCCTGTTGAATAACTTTGTGGTAAAATCAGAAAAGTGGGAGGAAGTAGCTGATGAGAGTGAAGGGCAGGGTGACTTGCAAAGAGTAGAAAAGGGTTAGAGTAGTTGTTGCAGGGAATTCAATGGGAGTGAAGGAAATGAATGAAAGGATACTAAATAGCAGTGGGAGTCCAGCTGAAGTTAGAATGGCTTGCATTTGAACAGTTAAAAGCCTAAGATATAAAAGGAAAGAAAGACATAGATAGAATTTAAAGTCCACACATCTTCTTTTCCCCTAGAACTGTGCAGATTGGGGTATGATATCTTTAAGAGTTGGCACGTGCTTATATTTTATGAGGTGTTTTGAGAGTTTCTTTTTTACATTTTAGTTATTAAAAGTTCATTGTTCATTTAAGCATCTGATTTTCACTGTTACTCCTTGGATTTTGACAGTTTCCTTCTCGCTCCAGTGGTCTCCCTTAACACTGAATCGAATGCAAAAGAGAATTTATTTTGTAGAAGGTCATTTTGTACAGTTCTTTAAACAAACAAACAAAAAACACATACACATCATATATTCTGTTGAGTGTGGTATACCTATAGGCATTAGCCAGTTAAATTCTTGATTATATGAATGCTTTCATTTCACATTTATTGCCTTGCCCAATTAATTTCCTTTTATTGTTTACCTAAGAACTTATGTGCATATGTGCATATATGCATAACTCATGGACACAGACAATAGTATGGTGAAAGCCTAGGGGGGCGGGGGCAGGGTGGAGGGGGTCAATGGGAAAAAAAGGAGAACATCTGTAATACTTTCAACAATAATGATAAATTGAAAAAAGAAAATGAACCTAAGAGCTACTGATTAGAGGCCATATTAGAGGCTGCGACCTCAGTTGGCTGCCGGTTTCAAATAATTCTATTAATTACCTTGGGTTTTGCTAGAATGCCCATTCTGAAAACGAGTTCCTTCAAATGGTTCTGGATATTTTGTAATTCCACGTAAGATTGCCAATGTATTTATTTATTTTTAATTAGAAAAGTACTTGCATTTAACTGACAATGTCAAACAGTGGAATGTTTTGCTTAAAGTCACAAATGAGCACACTCTCCCTCTAAATTGAGTATGAATTAGGAGAAAATGTCAATTGCTAATTAAATCCCAAAAGATTACAGTATTTCAGTATACCAGAAGCTACGCTTAGGCCCCAAACCATTCTGCTGAAATAGTGGCACCTAGAATATCTTGTTCTGATGAGACATGATATCTACTTGTACTATTTTGTTCTTATTTCCTGGGGTACTCTGCTCTTGCCTGGAAATAATTCACAAACCTTGAGTATTTTCTAAGTTTTAGTGCAGTTCCTCTCTCCATGGAAAGTCATCTCCCAAGGGTATTCTATTTACTGCAGCCTTTATTTTTTTTATATTGCTTCATGCAATTCCAACTTACAGGGTGTTGATACACAAAGCTTCCTCTGGCTTTGTAGTAACCCAGCCTTATTTAGAAATATGTTTGACTCATGGAAGATATAAAAGTTAGAAGGGATATAGACAAATTCTTCATGTGTAATCTTATTGTCTCAATCACAAAGCACAGATAATAAATAGTAAGAGTAGAAATAACGGGTAATAGAAATAGCATAATCAAAATATCAAGAAAACCTAAGGAGACAATGCCTGGCTTCTTAGATCTAAATGACTACATCTTTAAATTACAAGTATACCTTAAGACAACCACCAAGTTTATTTTCTAGAAGACTGCAAGTGGGAGAGAATTCAAGTAATGAAACCAAGGGTTTTTTGTGTGTTGAATGCATGGACTTTAACCCTTTAATGATAAAAAGCTAATTTTAGTCTCTAGTATTTCTACTAGAATTTGAACCTTAATCTCTGGTAATAATTAAAATATTACTACATATCTGGTAGATCATGTTAAATATATAAGACATTTAGTCCGAGCCTCTTCTAAAGTTGTCAAAGTACGTATTTTTTTAATAGTACAAATAATGATTGCAGCTGGAAATATTCTACCTTTTCTTTTTATATTTCAGAATTTCTTAAATCTGAAATATCAGAACATCTGTGTAATGTCCTATTGCTGAAAACTCCAAATCACTCTTCAAATGAAAAGGATTTAATGTGAGCACAACAATATAATGTTTTTAAATGCAATTACAGTAATTTCAAGAAAAAAAAACCACCCCAAAACCTTTCCTTTAAAGTCAAGCTTATTCACCTGGAAATTACAATCACAGTAAGTTATCAGAGGTAAGTTACTTCAACACACAGCCTAATATCTATTACTGTCAAAACACCTGTTGAACACCATTTGGGATTTATCTTTTAAAAAAACTGGTAAATACAAACATTTCTGCCAGAGCTTTTCTATTCTCTTTTGAAAACCTCTACTTTGTGTTGAAGCTTTTCCCGCCTCTGCTATCTCTTCTCAATTGTCCCTTTTTTGCTACTTCTTATTATCTTCCCACAATAGTAGCAAACTAGCAAAAACCATTTAATAGCTTTCAAAAGATTTTTTTTTTTTTTTTGTGGCTGTCTGTATGCACTGCAGCCTATTATGTTAGAGTCACTTACCATTCTATTCCAAAAGCAACTATCATTACCATTTCTTAACATTTGACTCTACACAACTAAAAATTGAAACAGTATGAAGGGACTCAAAGAGTAGTTCTTACTATTTAGTTAATGAAATGACAAAAGGAGTAAATATGTTGGCGAGAGGCAGAAAAATCCAATTTGAACATTTATGTCTTATTAAGGGAGAAAAATAGCCCACTTACTCCTCCTTTTTGATACTGCTAAGTACAAGAAGAACTGAATAAAATTTAGTAATTTTTCTAAAATTATTTACATTCCGGAAGGATATTGGAGAAGTTGCTTTAGCTGTATAATTGGTAACGTTTTGTAAGGAAATGAAGCATGGATTTCACTTTCTGAGTAACAGCCTCTAGAGGAGAGGAGCGCAGGAAAGGAAATAACTTCATTTCAGAGAATCAAAGTTCGGCAAGGAATCTTAAAACAAACTTGCTACAGTGATCTAACCACCATATGCCATGTGGAAAAGACCATGCGTTTTCCCTGGAATGTACCTTACCTAGACATTTTGCTTATTGTCATCTCTTGTAGTGCTTTTAGGCACTTGACAAGTGAGAAGAATCTTGAGCTCAGGACGGGAATCTCTAATCACCATCAAAGCCCATAGATAAGGGAAGAAAATGCAATATCAAAGAGTGCAAATTCTTTCTCCCTCTTTTCTCATATTCTGTAATGACTGTCTTGCGTTATAAGGGAAATTTTCCTGTCAATTTTGGTCCCGGCAGGGCATACTGCAATTAAGGGACGGTGACACAGAAAGCCAAGTCTGTTGCAGGACAGTGGCGGGAGTGCTGTACATTGGGGTGTCTTTCACCCACAAACCAAGTCTCTCTGCCTGCTTTCCAAAGTGTTCACACACTCACTGCGCCAGCTGAATGTCCCTGCGTAGGACTCAGTTAGCAACGTGCAACCCTGATTAGCGCGATCTTGGACGCTGGTTCCTCTGTGCGCTGGGTATGGGAGAATTTAACACCAAGAGCTCTAGGTGGGCTAAAGAAGGGCTGAACTGATTACTTCTGAAGTCACTGGAGTCTTTCTTCTGGAAGCTGAATGAAATCATCTCTTACCTCCTTCGTTTGGGAATTAGCAGTAAATGGAATTAGAGTTTCCACTTCCCTTTCCTCGATTGAACAGGGGTGCAGGGCTGTGGGGAGGCACGTTCTAAAGTGCCGCTTTGTGTTCCCACGTCAGAACACTAGTGGGGAGCAGAGGGGAGGGGTTCGTAGCCTAGGCCACTTTGAGAGTTTTACGTAATAATTGCATTCTCTTGTTAGACTGGCAGGCAATAAGCGGAGGCACCACACCGCCCCCTTCTAAGGCTCCATCCCCATTGACCCACCAACCCTCAAGGGCCTCAGGTAGCTAGGAGGCGGGGCAGGAAGTCTCCACCTCCTCGCGGGCTGCAGCCATTTGGAGCGCTCGGAAGCCAAGGGGCTGCAGCACATTGGCTGGAGGACTCTGCCAGTCTCAGGAGGGGGTGTGGTGGAGGTGGGGTCTCGGGCCAAGGCGGGTAGGGGTTGCTCACTGCACTTTGGGTGGTGGGTGAGTTTGAGCGTGGGAGTGAGCCCAGCTACTGTATACTTGCTAACAGTTCTGAGCCAGCGATAGCGCGCCTGAGAGAGAACTAGAGTGAAGGAGGGAGTGCGAGGGGACCTTGAGGAGACTGAGAGAGAAAGCGAGGGCCAGAGGACCTACGATTTGAAACTGAATGACCATGGCTGTCTCCGCACCTCCGGTGATCTCTGCAACTTCCAGTGGCGCCGGCGTCCCGGGGAGCCTATTTCGGGCCGAACCCATGTATTCGACTCCTGGAGAGCCTCCCCGGCTCACCCCCAATATGATCAACAGTTTCATGGCCAATAACCACAGTGGCAGTGCAGGAAGTGGCGGGGTCGGTAGTTGCAGCGGAGGCAGCGGCAACACCAACACCAACGAGTGCAGGATGGTCGACATGCACGGGGTAAAGGTGGCTTCGTTTCTAATGGACGGCCAGGAACTGATTTGCCTGCCGCAAGTCTTTGATCTCTTCCTCAAACACCTTGTGGGAGGGTTGCACACAGTGTACACCAAGCTGAAGAGATTGGACATATCCCCCGTGGTGTGTACAGTCGAGCAGGTCCGGATCCTCCGCGGGCTGGGGGCCATCCAGCCCGGGGTGAACCGCTGTAAACTCATCACCAGGAAAGACTTCGAAACTTTGTTCACCGATTGCACCAATGCCAGGTGAGATGCCCTTTTCTCTGCTGGCTCTTCCCCTTTTGCCCTTTTCTGCATGTCTCACCACCTTCATCCAACTTTGTCTGTAGAGAGTATTAACTAGCTTCCCTCTACTCTTCACGCTCTAAGTCTTTGGGGAAAGAGGACTAGAAGGACTCTAATTAATTGCCCGTCCCTTCTAGTCTGAGCACAGTGATAGTATTGGGTCTAAGAAAGTCGAGCACAAACTTTAGTTTGCGGTCCTCTACTGAAACTTTTCAGCCTTTCAGCTATACCTTGAATGGTTTTTTTACTGCTTGTGGTTATTTGTTAATTTCTCTATTTGGTTTTCTTTCCTCCTCTTTTGTGGCCATACGGGTCGGAGAAGTTTTATCCTGAACAGGGGTACCAAGGGCTTTCTGGGGTAGAGGGCTGGCTGAGCTGTACACTGAGCTTCTAAGCTGGCAATCCAAAACACAGCATTTGGGGGATGCAGAGGGTCGAAAGTCTAGAATCCATCCCAGAGGGTGATTCGTTTCCCATCCTGTGTGTTCGTTGTGAGAGTACCTGGGGTGTGTAGTGGTGGTGGTGGTGGTGGTGGTGGTGCTGGTGGTGGTGCTGGTGGTGTGTGTGTGTGTGTGTGTGTGTGTGTGTGTGTGTGTGTGTGTGAGAGAGAGAGAGAGAGAGAGAGACAGAGAGAGAGACAGAGAGAGAGAGACAGAGAGATAACTGTATGCTCATGCCAGCTACGCAAACCTCCCCATACACGGTAAAGGAATGTCGATGGATCCTATTTAAAACAAAACAAAACAAAACAACAAAACAAAACAAACAAACAAACCAACACATCCGACAAATGCCACTTTCCTGACCATCACTTTTGGTTCTTCTGTAAAGGTCACGAAAAGCTGGGGCTGTGACAGGGTTGGGGGGTGGGGTAGAAATTGTCAGGTTTTCTAGGGAGGATGCTTTCTGCGCTTCCCCCCCAGGCAAGCAGTTGGAAAGATCCCATTCCCCCAAAGAGAGGATTCCTTAAATGATGCTGGCCAGCCTCTCTGGCTATAAATGTCCGTCCTTCCAATCACAGCTTAGAAGTACATTATACAACAAAAGTCTATTTCTATATGTTCCTAAAACTGTATTCAATGTTTCAGAGTTAAAACAAAGAAAGTAAACTATTCAAGATTACTTGACTTGTTAAAGACCCGTGATTTAGTCGTTTTAGTGTTTATTTCATCTCCAGTCTGCTAATATCTGTTAGGAAAGTACATATTTGGCAGATGTGATTAACATACAAACCAGTAAATCACCATCACCAGGTTAAAGGAGCAAAAGGTTTTGTGGTAAAACAGCACTACTGTTGATTATTTTGCAGAAAACTTCTGCAGAGGTAGACTTTCTTATGACACAACTTTAAATGATAAGATCTCTGGGTTTATAAACTAAAACTACTTCCATTGTCACATCTGTTGGAAAATCCAAATTGCTATGTATAGTTGAAGCACATTGACACCTTGCAGACAAACTGTTGCTGACTGCTCCAATAAGATAATGCTACAAAACTTACAAGAGAACCTTTTGGTTTTGTTTTTCTTTTTCCTTTGAACTGTATTCTTCCGTGTTCTGGCAATTAAGTGGAAACCTGTTCATATGAGAACTCCTTTCTGATTCATATCTGGGGCTTCCAAGGCTGGTTTATTAGATCGGATTTTCTTAAGGAAGATAGGGGGCCTTAAAACACAAAGGATAACTGCTCCCTCAGTAAAATAAGTAATTATAGGTTGTAAGAGTAGAAAGGAAATTTTATTTTGACTACAAAGCATATTACTAATACACAAATTCAGAGGGTTACCAAGGACTTCACATATGGGCCTTCTGATTCATTTGTTGCCATTTGAAAAGACTAGCATTTAAACAATTGCAGATTTGAAAACACATCTTCCAGCTCTCTCTCTCCCTATCTCTCTTTACCCCTTCCCCTCTCTCCTCCTCTTTTCTTTTCCCCTTCTTTCTCTCTTACAAACACCCATATTTAAAGTGGAACAATCATTACACATAGAAAATTCTTCTTTACTTAATAATTAATCTTCACATCCTTGAGCAAAATCTATGATTTTCATTAAAAAATAAATGGATTAGTATTTTAATGTGATTTTTACACTTTCTTCTGTAAATAGAAACTTTAATTAATTTTTATTAGAGCTACTTAGAAAAGTGATAAATTAATCTGTATTCAATGGCAGGTGTTCATATACTACTTTGGGGCTTTGTTATATGATGTGTTTTTGGTTATTTTAATTCATTTAAGTTTTATTTACTCCTTATCACAGCATTTACAATACTAACTTTTTTGGCTTAAATTGCTTTTGTGTATATGCATAAAGGTGATAGAGAAATATTAAAAATGTAAGAAGGAATATATCTGAGGTATGATGCATATGCCTCTTATTGCATTTTTTCTTTATGAGTATTTTATTTATTACATGCATTTTATATAATTGTGTTATAAGTGTTGTAATATGTAATTGTAAAAATTTATGAAATATATTCTATGAATGCAGTCTATGAATGAAAATGAGGAAAACTAAAAACACAGCTATATTGCAATTTCTAGAGAGTTTCTTGAAAAACCCCACAATTTCTGAAAAAATCTAATTAATGGTAAAGTAACACTACCAAATTTTATTGATGCAAAAGGCTCTCGTAACCATGTTGTTAAAAATACAAAATATGGTAATGCTTATAATGGATGCTTTATGACTTTAGGTAACGTTATTTACAGAAATGTGTACCTCAAATTATTCCCAACATCTGAGTGATTTAATGAAACTGTGAAATTAGTATTTAGATCAACATTATTTCTAAGACTTTTCTATTCAACAAAAAGAAAAGAAATGTGAGGGATGTAAAAAAATATGGCCCAAGCAAAACAAAATAGGGTAGATGAGACATGAAGCCAGTAAGAGAAGAGAGATGTGGGATATGAGTAGAATGATGCCAAGAGAGTGAGTGAAAGGTGGATCAGAAGAGCTTATGGAGATGCCCAAAGAAGATGAGCAATTTGATATACCAATGGAAACTTGGCTAAAGAGGATTGTCATTCAGGACTCATAACTTCTTAGCACTTCTAGGTAAAAGGTGGGAAAAATACAAGGAAAAATTGCATGTTCAGTGAGTGGAAACTCTTACATATTATTCTTATTTGAAAAAAGAAATTCATCTTACCTTCTGATGGATACATTTTCATAATGTATTTGAAGGTCTATTTGTAATGGTTTCATTCAAAATTTTCTTTTGATGTATAATAAACATTTCTTCCCCTCTCTGTCAGATAACTGGGGAAGAGTACAAGTCCTGACTTTTAAGATATTTTAATTTGAAATGCATCCTACACTATTCCAAAACACATAAAAGTGGACAGTTTTCAATTTGATAATTTCCAAGGACTTTAAATTGGCATTAAGTGGCATTTTGATTTGGCTCAGGGCACATTTTATTAATGTCCACTGAAGAAAATCAAATGAATAAAATACACACATGATTGTTTCTTTGAGAGTACTAAAAGTCACAAGAACTTTATCAGTGATTTATAGTAACTATTTTGTAATTAGATAATTATAAAAATATTCAAAGTTCCGGAAAGAATTTGGAAAATAACACCTACTTCAAGCACTAGAGAAGAGTAAGACTAAAACTATTGACTATTCATTGTTCTATTAAATAAGACAACTTTTACATCATTGCAATTCCAAAGGGCTATACAGTAGTTTTCCTTGATGTCCTTTAATTTTAGAAACTAATTGCAAAGAGATTATTTTGAGGATTATTAAGAAAATGATGATAAAAAGACCCAAAACATGTTGGAAAAGGTGTTATTTTGTCTTAGATCTTTGTTTTTGCAGATAAAGCACTGATTATTTTTCATTTCTTGTATAAGAGAACTTGGAGTTTTTAATATGAGAGAGAGCAGGCAGATTCAGAAAGCAAATATCTAAAAATCTCACTCTTAAGCAATGGATTTTCCTTACTAAATTCTTCTTCAAAGTTTAATGTAATAGTAAAATATTAAATTAAAAATTGGTATTCAGTAAAAAAATCAGCCAACACATTTTAGTGTTATCTCTTCTTTTTTCTTTTTATCTATTTTTATAAAAGTATCATTGTCAGATTTCATGATCAGCATTTAATTTCATTTGAGGAACAATTGATTAAATGTTATTTGGTCATTTACATATAGTTAAATGGATGCTTGAAGTAACAAGAATGTATGATAAGAAAACATTTTAACTCATTTGGAGACATGATTCAACATATATTCAAATGAATAAAATTCAGTTTTTTAAATTAAAGTTTTAAATGGCCTAATTGTGGTTTATTGTTATTTTGACTGTGTAAACGGAACATAAGTGGGCTTCCATGGTAGAAAAACTTTATGTGAATTATAAAGACTTTTAAAACTACTTTCAAATACTAGAAATAAGATTACTGTAACTATTCAGTGAGTTTAGTTTTGCATTCACACTTGATAAGTATATTTCATAATGCACACAGAATAACATAATTTACTTTGAAAAAAAATTTTTTTCATTCATAGTAAAGTTAAGCAAAATCAAATTTTAAAGAACTGGCAACACTTACCTGGGCTAATATTTTGTATTGTTGAAAGTATTACAGATTTTCCCCCATTGACCCCCTCTCCCCTACTCCCACCCCCTCCTCAGACTTCCCTGAACAATTGTCTGTCCAAAGGCTATGCATACATGCATATAAGTTGATTGGTTAATAATCTCTTCCCACCCCTGCTTCCCTCTGAAATACATCAGTCTGTTGCATGATTCAATGTCTCGGAATCATTTTTGTTCACCAATTTATTTTGTTTATTAGATGTTTGACTTATATTTTTATTTTCAGAAATGATAAAATCTGGGTAATAAATACTGACATTTTATTTCATAGGGTAATGAGCGGCAGTCATTTGTCTACTAAAAGCAGTCACATAGTCAACAATGCTGTGTCTTTTATTAGAA